AATAACTCAGATTGAAATTGAGTCATTATTATAAGACAAAAATCATTCATAGTGAAGTATGGAACACAATTTTTATTAACTCCTTGTTGCTTATAATATAAAATTGGACTTGCATCACCTTTTTTCATCATTTCTTTTACCCAAAKATCTACACTTTCACATCATTTTGGTGTATTTTCGTCGAGTATGAAATATTAAAGTCACGCTTGATATTGTAAATCTTTTTTTTCTAATAAATGAATTCTTTTAATACTATCCATCTCAACGTTTGATGATCGAACATCCTGCAAAATTCTGTTAACTGGAACACCCAAGGATAATTTTCCTGTAAAAAATATTGAAAAGTTATAGGTATTGAAATAATCTATTAATCATATATAATATATATAATAACAAACATAAATAACTTTATATTTGTTTAATGATTCATATAAGTTACCAGCAATCTTACTCCTATCTTCATCGAACAATCTTAATTTTCCTATATCCTTWGTATGSCATAAGTGTGTRCTATAATATTGTACATTAATTTGTTTATTGTCTATGTGTACTTTCATGTTAGAAGGACAAACATGGCCAKTTTTCACGAATACATCACTTTTTGTACATTTGTGTCCCTGTTTAATGATTGRTTATATTAATCACAACTTGGTTAAGTACATTTTATGTTRAATATCTTACTTTGTTTGAAGTTCTTGGTCCAAATGATCTGTGGCAAAAATAGTAAACATACTCTTTATTAGAATTTTTTTTTGTTGATGACAACTTGACATAGTGGCACTCTTCTTCATCTYCTATATTTTTTTTCCATTTGTTAAAATCTGTTAATTTGTATTTTATTAAACTATACTCTYTTAGTTATTAACTTACATTTCCATAACTGAAAAATTAAGTTTATGAAATATTATTATAAAAATACATACATGTCCACAATAACATCAAAAATAAAAACCAATATTTTCAGCCAAATCACAATGTTAATTTTTGACCTATAACATTTAAACAATATTAATACTGAACAAACATTTTATAAGGAACGATACTTCCCAGTAGTGGGTGTCAAACTTGGTAAATGAARAATTGTATAATAATACACACATGTCCACAGTAATTTTCTCAGTAAATTRTAAATCTAGACTTAGATTAGTGTTTAAGAGTATAAACCATAACTGAGTCATAATATGGATGAAAAACCAATCACAGCCAAATCACAGGAAATGCTAACCAAATATAAATCAYCTATAACATTTAAACAATATTAATACTGAACAAACATTTTATGAGGAACGATACTTCCCAGTAGTGACTAAACAATTTTGTAATAATAATACATACACGAACACAGAAACACCAAAAGTAAAAACAAATACTTTAAGTTAAGTCACTGAGTACATAAAAAATAATAAGTTAGTAATAATAATTGTTAACAGATATTTAATGTAATTATAAATTTATATACCTTCTATAGAATTAAAATTTAACATTGTTGGCTCAATATTAATATTATGAGATTTTAAATGTACAATTAATCCTTTTATAGATGGAAATGATTTTGTACAATTTGTGTATGAATTAACATATTACTATGGTGACTATATAAATGAGTCTTTGTGTGTTTTATTATATTGGACTTCAAATCAAATGATGCAT